GAAACAGATTCTAATCGAAGCACTAGATTAAATGGATTTAATAGATATCTACAAAGAATTACACCCCAAAACTGCAGAATTCACATTCTTTTCAAGTGCACATGGGATATTCTCAAAGATAGACCACATGTTAGGGTGCAAATTAAGTCTCTACAAGTTCAAGAAGATTGAAATCATATCAAGCACCTTCTCGGACCACAATGGAATGCAACTAGAAATCAATTGCAACAAGAACATGCAAAGACATTACAACACATGGAGGCTAAATAGCATGTTATTAAACAATGAATGGGTTACCGAGGAGATCAAGGAAGAAATTAAAAACTTCCTGGAAACCAATGAAAATGAACACACAACAACACAAAATCTATGGGATGCAGTGAAAGCAGTTCTGAGAGGGAAATTCATAGCACTACAGGCCTAACCTCAAGAAACAAGAAAAATTTCTAATAGACTATCTAACCTCACAACTTAAAGAACTAGAAAGCAAACAAACAAACAAACAAACAAACCGCCCCAGAGCAAGTAGAAGGAAGGGACTAGTAAAGATCAGAACAGAAATGAATGACATAGAGACCAAAAAAAACAATTCAAAGGATCAATGAAACAAAGAGCTGGTTTTTTGAAAAGATAAACAAGATTGATGGACCCTTAGCTAGACTCACTAAGAAACAAAGAGAGAGAACCCAAATACACAAAATCAGAAAAGAAAGAGGAGAAGTAACAACTGACACCACAGAAATATAAAGGATCATTAATAAATACTCTGAACAATTATACGGCAACAAATTTGACAAACTAAGCAAAATGGACAAATTTCTAGAAACACATAGTCTTCCAAAACCGGACTGGGAAGGGATAGAAAACTTGAACAGACCAATAACAACTAAGGAAATTGAAGATGTTATCAAGACTCTCCCAGCAAACAAAATCCCAGGCTCAAACGGCTTTACGGGGGAGTTTTACCGAACATTTAGAGAAGAACTAACACCCATTTTCCTGAAACGATTTCAAAAAATTCAAGAAGAAGGAAGACTTCCAAACTCTTGTTATGAGGCCAGCATAATTCTAATTCCAAAACCAGAAAAAGACACTACAAAGAAAAAAACTACAGGCCAATATCTCTGATGAACATAGATGCCAAAATTTCTGAACAAAATACTAGCAAATCGAATCCAGCAATACATCAAAAACATTTTCACCACCACCAAGTGGGATTCATCTCAGGGATGCAAGACTGGTACAATATTCGCAAATCAATAAATATGATACACCACATAAACAAAATGAAAGATAAAAACCACATGATCATATCAATAGACGCTGAAAAAGCATTCGACAAAATCCAGCACCCATTTCTGATAAAAACACTCAGCAATGTGGAAATAGAGGGATCATATCTTGACATAATAAAGGCCATATATGAAAGACATACACCCAACATCATACTCAATGGACAAAAACTAAAAGCATTTCCCTTAAGAACAGGAACAAGACAGGGATGCCCCACTTTCACCACTCTTATTTAACATAATCCTGGAAGTCTTAGCCACAGCAATCAGACATGAAATAAAAATAAAAGGGATCCAAATTGGAAAGGAGGAAGTGAAACTGTCATTACTTGCAGATGACATGATATTACACATAGAAAACCCTAAAGACTCCATCAAAAATGTCCTAGCCTTAATAAATGAATTTGGCCAAGTAACAGGACACAGAATAACGTAAGAAATCGATGGTATTCTTTTTTTTTTTTTTTTTTTTTTTTAAGTGGGAGGGAGAGAAGGAGGAAGAAACAGAGAGAAACATCGAGTGGTTGCCACCCACACAACCCCTACCAGGGCCAGGGACAAACTGCAATTGAGGTACGTGCCCTTAGCGGGAACCAAACCTGGGACTCTCCGGTCTGCAGGCTGGCACTCTAACTGCTGAGCCAAACTGGCCAGGGCTCGTCGGCATTCTTATATACCAATGATGAACTCACAGAAAGAGAAAACTAAAAAAAATAATCCCATTCACCATCGCGGCAAAGAAATTAAGATACCTAGAAATAAACTTAACCAAAGAAATACAGGACCTATTCACAGAAAACTACAGGTCACTGAAAAAGGAAATAGAGGAAGATGTAAAAAAGTGGAAGCACATACCTTGTTCATGGATTGGAAGAATTAACATCATTAAAATGTCCATACTACCCAAAGCAATCTATAGATTCAATGCAATCCCCATCAGTGCATACTTCACAGAACTAGAACAAATACTTCAAAAGTTCATATGGAACCAAAAAAGACCTCGAATAGCCACAGCAATCTTGAAAAAGAAGAACAAAGTTGGAGGGATCACATTACCAGATTTCAGGTTATACTACAAAGCCACTGTAATCAAAACAGCCTGGTACTGGCACAAGAACAGGCATATAGACCAGTGGAAAAGAACAGAGAACCCAGAAATAGACCCAAGGCAATATGCTCAATTAATATTTCACAAAGGCGGCAAGAGCATACAGTGGAGTAAAGACATCCTCTTTAATAAATGGTCTTGGGAAAATTGGACAGCTACATGCAAAAAAATGAAACTAGACCATCAACTTACACCATCCACAAGAATAAATTCAAACGGATAAAAGACTTAAATGTGACTCATGAATCCATAAAAATCCTAGAAGAAACTATAGGCAACAAAATTTCAGACATTATACACAGCAGAATTTTCACTGTTAAGGCAACAAAAACAAAGGAGAAAATGAACACATGGGACTACATCAAGCTCAAAAGCTTCTGCACAACAAAAGATACAGTCATCAAAATGGAAAGGCAACCCACTCTATGGGAGAGCATAATTGCCAATGATATATCAGATAAGGGGTTAATATAGAGTGCTCATACAACTCCACAAAAGGGAGACAAAGAACCCAATTAAAAAAATAGGCAGAGGAATTAAATAGACACCTCTCCAAACAGGACATACAAATGGCTAAGAGACATATGAAGAAATGTTCAACATCACTAATCATCAGAGAGATGCAAATTAAAACAACAATGAGGTACCACCTCACACCTGTCAGAATGGCCACCATCAACAAATCATCAAACAACAAGTGTTGGCGAGGGTGTGGAGAAAAGGGTACTTTAGTACACTGCTGGTGGGAATGCAGACTGGTGCAGCCACTATGGAAAACAATATGGTGTTACCTCAAAAAATTAAAAATTAAACTGCCATTTGACCCAGCGATCCCACTCCTAGGAATATACCCTAAGAAGCCTGAAACACCAATCATAAAGAATATATGTACCCCCATGATTGTAGCAGCACTATTTACAATAGCTAAGATCTGGAAACAGCCCAAATGTCCATCAGTAGACGAATGGATAAAAAAGCAGTGGTACATATACACAATGGAGTACTATGCAGCTGTAAGAACGAAAGATCTCTTATCCTTTGAGACGACATGGAGGGACCTGGAAAGTGTCATCCTAAACGAAACAAGCCAAACAGAGAAAGACAAGTATCATATGATCTCACTTATTTGTGGAATATAATGAACATAAAAGTCTGAGGAATGGGGTGGTCCCAGCGACGTGGAAGTGGGGTACAGACTGACAATCCCCAGAAGAGGAGATGGTGGGGGAGAGATAAACTACAGAATTTATATGCATGTATGCATGACCAATGGACATGGACAACAAAGCTGGGGACAGGGTGGGAGGGAGAGGAAGGGGGGAAATCAGTGGGGGGAAAAGGAGAAACATCTGTAACAAAAATAATTTAATTAATTAATAAAAGAATTTTAAAAAAGACATTCTCATATATATTATTCAAGGCCTATTCAAGTTTTACTTTTGTTATTGAAACTATCTGTAACAGATTTTTGCTTATGTTGTGAGATGGTGATGTAATTTTTTTTTCCTATGGAGAGCTGGTTTTCCTAGCACCGTGTAATAAACCGTCCACCTTCCCCCACTAATCGGTAATTTTATCTGTATTGTGCAGCAAGATTCATTGGTGCATAAGTCTGGTCCAGTGATCTGTTTTTTTCATTCCTGCACCAATGTCACACAAACCTTCTGCCATGTTCTTTGTCTTTAAAATTACCATGGCTGCTATTAGCTCTTTATTATCTGTATCAATTTTAGAATCAGCTTATGAAGATCCACAAAATGCCCACTGGTACTGTCATCTAAAGTCTATCAGTCACAGATTACTTAGGATTTTTTTTTTATCCTCACCCAAGGACATTTTTTCATTTTTTGTTCAGATAGAGAGGGAGGGAGAGAGAGGAACATCGATATGAAAAGTACACATCAAGTGGCTGCCACCCGCATGACCAACCAGGGCCGGGGACAAACTGCAACCAAGGTACATGCCCTTAGCGGGAACCAAACCTGGGTCTCTCTGGACCACTGGCTGACGCTCTAACCGCTGAGCCAAACCGGCCAGGGCACTTCTTTAGGATTTTATGTCTTCCCATCCATAAACGTGGTAGATATCTCCACTTGATTAGATTTCTTAAAATATTTTTCCATAGACTTTTATAATTTTCTCCAAATAAATTTTGCATGTCATTTGTTAATTAACTCCTAGGTACCTTGGGATTTTGTTGATGTTGTAAATGATGTTTTTCTGATTTTTTTTTTTTTTTTACTAGTGTATAGTAGTGTAAGTAATTTTTGCAACCTACATATGTTCTTACAGTTAGAATTTTAATGTGTGATCCCTCAGCCAATTCTTGGTCTTTCTTGGACAAGAGGGACTCATTTCTGTTTTTAAAACTTCCTGTGGAAGATTTTCAACTTAATACTTTGCAGAGTGTCAGGCACATTGCAAACACATTCAATAATAGTAGTTAAATAAATAATGGCCAAAAGATAGCATCTTCATTTGAAGAACTGTGCATTTTTCTAGGATTCGCAAATTCCATTATTTAGCAATGTAATCATGAGAATAGGCTATATGCATCTCCTACCTTCCAATTTTAATGTGTAAAATCTGGTTAAAGTAAATACTGAGAGCAGGCCTGAAAGAAAGAGGAAGAAATGGAATATCACAAATTGTTATCTAGGGTGAGGTGATGAGAGGGCACTGTTGCTAGGCAACTAACTTCATTCCCAGCAGTTGCTGACTCTGTTGTACAAGGGTCTCCTTCCCTCCCTCTCTCCCTCATCCCCCCCTACTCACCGGATAGAATCAAGAACAAAATCACCCAGGATAGTGAAAGGTGGGAGTGAGAGGTTTGCTGACCAAATCTCATGTCTGGGACAAAGCCACGATGCAGTTTCTAAAACGCACATTACACAGCGAGACTTATTGTCCCCTTTTGAAAAAAGACACGCTGATATTAGTTTCAGGTGTGATGCTATTTCAGGTTCTGTGATCACAGACTTGAGTCATTGAGATCTAACAGGAACCCCCGACAAGCAGGGGCTATGTTTCTGAAACACACTGTGGCCTGATGAGGAACTCGTAACAGAATTGAAAAAAAAAAATTTGTTTTTCTCTATTGATTTTAGAGAGAGAGGGAGAGAGAGATAGTCACATCGATGAGAGAGAACAGCGATTGGCCGCCTCCTACATGCCCCCCACTGGGGATCAGGCCCACAACCTGGGCATGTGTCTTGATTGGGAATCAAACCAGCGACCTCTTGGTGTATGGGTCGACGCTCAACCACTGAGCCACACAGGCCGGGCCATCACAGAATTTGTAATCAGATGGCAGTTTCAGGGCTCTTCTTTGGGGTTTGAAATGACGTGGGAGAGCCACATACATCTTGAGATGTGTGGGACTGGAGGCAGCCGAACTGTCGGAAGCGGAGACCGACATGTACAGGCCGTCAGCTCCACTGAGTGAAGTTAGAGCCAGGGTGGTAGGCGAAGTGCTGCAGAGCGTTTGTAGGTGAGAAGAGAAGGGGCCGGGCGTGGGGCCCTGGGACATACCTCCTCTCAGAGGAAGACGTGGTCAGAGGAAGACAGGCCTGCCAAGGACGCCTACAAGGAGCAGCTGGAGAGGTAGAGGGTGGAGGGGTCTGAGGGAGGGAACATAATTTACACAGGGTTTGAAGAGAAGGTGAGAGGTGAGTAAATGCCAAGGAGAGATCAAGGAAAATCAGCAGAGAGAGGACTTAGCACAAGTTGGCCAATGGTGACTAAGATGAGAAAGTAAGTTCTGTGCTGGTGCCGTGTCCCTGGAGTGGCGAGGTCCCAGTCTTGCTAGTTCGGTTAAGCCACTTAACATTGTTTGCTTATCTATAATTTGCTCACGATAACAACCTTCCTGGGACTGTTCTGAGGATTACTAAAAAGATGCTTAGTGTTCTAATGATGTCTCTGTCCTTCACACTTTCTGTCCTTGTTCTTCCTCATCCATACCTCACCCTCAGATTTCATCTGACAACCTCCTGCCTTCCCTGTCACCTGAGCCTCTCTCTGCAAATCCCTCTGCATTTAGTTTTCTGTGAAGACCTTCTGATGGGGGTATGCAAAACCGGAGAGCACTGAATTATTCCCCTCATCCTGTGCTTCTCAGCTGCCACCCTCACCCCAACCTTCAATCTTTCCTTCTGACCTTGACAAGTCTTCCCTGGAAGCTGTGGGAACAAATGAGGGAAAGGTTTCCGTTGCAACATACTTTCCTTTGAGTGATTCTAAGTGGAGATATTCAAGTGACCCTTCTGATTTCTCCACCAAAAAGATTCATGGTTGCTAGGAAACCAACAATGGGTGTTAACTACACCCAGTTTGAAAATGTTCCCAACCTCAAGCACTGTAATTATATTCAGAAGAATTTTTAGCTGCTGTTCCATTATCATCTTTCAAAATTTTAATTTGACAATTATTTATTGAATTTATCCTTGCAGAAAGCTTGCAAAGCACAGATCTGATCACGTCACCCCTCGACTCAAAAAACTTCTGTGCCCTCTCACCCACAAAAGAAAGTCAAAACTGTTTAATCTGACCTACCACGCCGGCCTCACCTTACAACACTCCCTACTCCAGCCTCACCTGGCTGCTGCTCACTCTCCACTCTACCGCCTGGGTCTTCTGAAATCCCATCCTGCTCTTGGCTTCACAAGGCCTTGCCATTCTTCAAAGCCTAATTTAAGATACCATTAAGTCCAGACAGAATGAATTGCTCATTCCTGCTCACTGATTGATTTCAGGTATGCATGCATTGAACAAAGATTTTGTATACTCTATACTGAGCTCAGCTGGTTGCCTTCTTTCTTTCTTTTTTTTTTTTTTAATCCTCACCTGATGATATTTTTGCACCCATCTTCAGGCAGAGCGGGAGGGAGAGAGGGAAGAAGAGAGAGAAACATGGATTTAAGAAAGACACATCGAGTGGCCGCCACCCACACGACCCCAACCAAGGTATGTGCCCTTAGTGGGAACCGAACCCGGGACTCTCTGGTCCACGGGCCGACACTCTAACCGCTGAGCCAAATCGGGCAGGGCGGCCGGCTTCTTTCTTTGTGGGGCACAGTTGGTAAGTGTTCTGTGCCTGCCTCCATCATAAGGATTTCCCAATGGTGACAACACTAAAGCAACTAGTAATTCTTTTATTTCCAAATTATGGTCCTGACTTAATAAATGCAGGGTGGAGAATTTTAAAATGTAAAAAGCAGCTAATAATTATCCCAGAGTGGGGTTTTGTTGTTGTTGTTGTTGTTGTTGTTGTTTTCTAAATTATATACGCTCTGTTACCCAACCATGCTTAGCATGGCAATGGGAGGCATCCTCCTATAGTCAGGCTTTGTTCAAGTTTTATTAAATTTGGGTGTTCTCTACTCAAGAAAATAAGTTCCTGGACTCAAAAAGTTCATTCTTCAGCAAATAAATGGCTTCTCCGCATGATACATAAACAGCCTGCCAGTTATCAGCTATCAAGCCTGGATTATTAAGATAGGGAATTTTTGTTTTTCTTTCGATGCATGCTTCAAATTCTCTCTAAATCTCTGTGCATAAACAAGCCCCAGTTTGTGCTGCTCCTGCATTTACCCACTGTCATCGCCACAAGTGTCTCTGATGGTGCAATAGCGCTTTGAAACCTTTTCACTTTGCCTCCCTTATCTACTTCCCTTGAGCTGGGATGCCATGCCCAGCATGATCCTAAATTATACCAATTGTGTTGCCAGAGTCTAGTGGGAAAAGCAGAAACCAATTTGAGTATTTGGGAGGGAATTTAATATAGAGAATTCATTATGTAAGTGATGAAAGAGTGCAGAAGCCAAACAGATTAGCAACAACGGGAAGCTATTAAGTCTGGAAGGGCAAAGGGAGCAGAGGGGGTTAGTGGAACCCAGGATTCGGCATCACCTGGCAGACGCCAGCGCCAAAGGAGAAAAAGTTGTTACTGGGGACACTGTCCAAGGCAGAGAGAGGGAGAAAAGTACCATAGCTTCTCTCTTTCTCATTCCAATCTTCTAGTAGCTTCCATTTGGCCATCAAGCCAGAGGGCGAGGAACCTGACAAGTGAGGTTCCCTGAAATAGCAGCTAGCAGCAGGGGAGAAGCAGGGAATAGGTCTGACAGCAAAAAGAAACACAACTGCCCTGGCCGGTTTGACTCAGCGGTTAGAGCATCCGCCTGCGGTCTGGAGAGACCTGGGTTCGGTTCCCGCTAAGGGCATGTACCTCGGTTGCAGTTTGTCCCCAGCCCTGGTTGGTCGTGTGGGTGGCAGCCACTCAATGTGTCCCTTTCACATCGATGTTTCCCTCTCTCTCTCTTCTTCTCTCTCCCTCCCACTCTATCTGTACAAAAAATGCAAAAATGTCCTCGGGTGAGGATAAAAAAAAAAAATGGAACACAACCCACACCTCTGAGCCCAAGATGAAGCTTGGCCACACCAAGTGTTGGCCACTTCTAATCCAGGTGTAGTTATCGGCCTCAGAATCCCAGGGAACAAGCCCTAGCTAACAAGCCCCTCTCCTCCATGAGGCTGGCCAACTTTTGGGAAACACCAATCTAATTAAGTTCTGTTTTGTTTTTCTAATTATGTTTTAAAATAATTTTCTAAGGGAGGGATGAATACCTCTGCATTATGATCATGTCCCATATTTACATTTCAAGTGGTTTCCAAGCGTTCATCTTCAATTAATAAACGTCTTTCAACCTTTACTATTCAATTAACTGCTCATAAAAATGTACCTCAGTCCTATTTTCATCACATTTATTCCCTAGGGGTTTTTCTTGGTTTGGTTCTATGTTTAGCAGAATGTTTAAGAAGTATGTTGGGAGCATTAGGCAGATTTAAATAATCTCCTTTATAGAAGGAAACTCTAAGTGCCCTGCAGGGTTCCTTGCTAGACTGAGCCCCAGTCATCTGAAAGTCATTTGACCAATACTTTTAACATGTACTCCTGGGAAATTCTGAACATGCTGGGACGTTCTGAACCACTGTGCTGCATACCTGAAGTCTGACCCGTGTGGCGCAGTAGGAATCTGCTAAAACACACCTACAATAAGGAAAAGCAACATTAAAAACAAACAAAACATATTTCTATTCACAATTAAACAGTACTATCAAAACTACATGTTAACTTTTGGAAACTATAATCTCCCAGAAACACACTTATCTATGTTTAAACCACAATATACAACCCCTTTACTATTTTACATAATCTTATTATTATACAAATAAATGTTTATTGTAGAATATTTGAAAAATAAGGGAAAGTATAATTTAAAATTTTGGAAAACTTATAACTACAATATCCAAAGGTAACCTCTGTTATTATTTTGCTGCATATCTTGTGTGTGAGTGTGTGAGTGTGTGTGTGTGTGTGTGTGTGTGTGTGTGTGTGTGTAAAACAGTCTTGTGGACACACACACAGGTTTTTTTTGGTACGTGCCCTTAGCGGGAACCAAACCCAGGACTCTCTGGTCCGTAGGCCGACACTTCAACCGCTGAGCCAAACCGGCCAGTGCTACCCACAGTTTTATATCCTGATTTTTATCATTTCATTTTATTCTGAGGATTTCCCCATACTATAATTTTCCCTATTAAAAAATCATTTTAAGCCCTGGCCGGTTTGGCTCAGCGGTCAGAGTGTTGGCCCATGGACCAAAGAGTCGCAGGTTTGATTCTGGTCAAGGGCACGTACTTCAGTTGCAGTTCTTTCCTGGCCCCGGTAGGGGTCTTGCAGGAGGCAACCAGATGATGTCTCTCACTCTCACATTGATGTTTCTCTCTTTCCCACTCTCTCCCTCTCTCTCTCCCTCACTCCCACTCTATCCGAAGATAAATGGAAAAATAATATCCTCAGGTAAGGATTGAAAAAAAATCATTTTAATTGACTCAACCTATTGTGTGACTACCATAATTTATTAAATTATTTGTTTGACATTTAGGAACCACATTGCTATGTATACCTTGACAAGCCAATATGAAAAGAGTGGTTTTTAGTCTATAAAAAGGACATAACATTGTCCTGAAAGAAGCTGGCATTTCGTCTTCCCAGCCTCTGGTTATCTCTCTCAGCGTCTTTGGTTTCACACTAGCTGCATTTGAAGGCTTCTGCCTTTGTTATACTGAAGCATAGGAGTGAGAAAAGAGGCCACCATCTAGACAAACTTGACCAAAGGTGTGACACTGGATAATTATTAAAATGATTTAGAAGAAAATAAGCCTGTTCTTGTTCTTTATAAATTGCAAGTCACTACTGACATAATTTTTAAGAGTGCATGTATTATCACTAAAAGTTTTTGAGTACTTTTTAAAATTAAACTTATTGGGGTGACATTGGTTAAAAAATTATGTAGATTTCTGGTGTGCAATTCTATAGTACATCATCTGTATATTGCATTGTGTGTTTGCCACCCAAAGTCCAATCTCCTTCGGTTACATCGCCATGTATTTGACCCCCTTTACCCTTTACTACCTTCCCTCTGGTAACCACCATACTCTCGTCTGTGTCTTTGAATTTTTGGTTGTATTTTTAGATGCTTAGAAATTCCTATTAAGTGAGGAACAAATTTTGAATGCTAGAGAAGGGTTTAGTTAAGTGCCTGATCTGAATTATTTGGGATGCCTCTTGGGTTTTCTTGTTCCGTTTTGTATTTTTCTAGTAGGCATCAATGATTTGGAGTGACACTGGCCTAGAGTAGTCTTTACAGCACTAAAAGCTGTCTTATGGTTGCCAGAGGGGAGGAGAGTGGGGGAATGAGTGAAAAATTAAAGGGATTAAGAAATGCAAGTTGGTAGTTACAAAATAAGCATGGGATGTAAAGTACAGCAGAGGGAATATAGTCAGTAATATTGTAATAACTATGTATGGTGCCAGGTGGATACTGGAAATACCAGGGAAACACTTTGTAAGTATATGACTGTCTAACCACTGTGCTGTACACCTGAAACAATTACAAAATATTATTGACTGGAAACTTTAATTGAAAAATTAAATTAAATAACAGCTGTCTTATAAACACTTTTTTTTTTTTTTTATCCTCACCCGAAGATATATTTTTTTTCTATTTATCTCAGAAAGAGTGTGAGGGAGAGAGAGGGAGAGAAAGGGGGAGAGAGGGAGAGCAAGAGAAACATTGACGTGAGAGGGACACATCAACTGTTTGCCTCCCACACGACACCGACCAGGGCCGGGGACATACCTCAACCAAGGTACATGCCCTTGACTGGAACTGAACCCAAGACTCTTTGGTCCGTGGGTCGACCCTCTAACCACTGAGCCAAACTGGCCAGGGCTTAAACACTTTAATATATTGTTATATTTAAACTATACCATACACCCTTACATATATAAGAAAATAATTATAACAAAAATATTATAAGATTATTATGAGGATTAAATGAGATTATACATAAAGGATTCAGCTCAATGACTGGTTAAACTGAAAATACCTCACAGGCATTATATGCTATAGTGTCATCATTATTATCTTCACATGAATAAAACTTATAACTTACAAAGAACTTTTACATGCATTTGCACTTTTAGTTGCCACAACAACCCAGAAAGGCAGGCAAGGATGAGGATCCTTTTTGTCTCAAGGTGCTTATACACCACAT